GTGTGTGTGTGTGTGCAGACCAGCAGAGGACGCCAAAGTACACTTTTGTATCCACTTTTCTATCTGCACCTGCCATAATCTATATGTGTAGTAATCCACCATGTATAATGTTTTTTAATGTATTTTTAATGATATGTCTTTATGTAATCTTGTGTCATATAAATATATCTATTAAACCAATAATTTATCCACAACTGCAGTGTTATGTTGGGCTCACTCAAACTTAAGTTGTTCAGTGGATTTCTGTGATCCTATGTTTAAATGGACACAGAACACATTGAAACAGAAAAGTACCCTTTACAACAGACAGAAGAAGGCTCAAAAAAATAGTTTTTTACCTCAAAAGTCTACCAATACAAAATAGACATGCAGAAAGTCGGCATCTGTTTGAAATCAGTGGTTTTGTATTTGAGTCTGGTGCAGGGGACCTCTCAGAATATACATTACTTGTACAAAAATGAGAACAATACATGCGCTCTTCCCAGCTCTCTCCCATGGATTGCATTTAACTTCACAATACAATACCAAAAACATGTGTAAATGATAAATTGAAGAGATTTAGCTTTTCCCATTTGTCATAGTCTGTTTATGTCATATTTGCTGAAGACAGATGCACATTTACATGTGTTATCATGTTGATCTCCCAGAAAAAAGGATGATCACCTCTGCTTTTCTGTTCAGTTCTCCATTCTTCTTCTCCTGTTCTGTGACCAGCATCCTCAACGCCAATTCGCTCATTAGTGACTTGGTCTGTGAAGACTTTTGCTCTTGCTCTACTATCAGGCTTAACTCTGAAATCTGCTCACATTTAGGTTCCCAACACAAAAAAAGAAGGTGGCCCCTTGACCGTTCCCTTGTACTACCATCAGTCCAAAGCCTACCATTATGTAACTCTTCTGTTACCTTCCTGGGTCAGCACTGGCTGTGAGGATCAGTTGGTCTCTTCAATCTACTAAAAGTCAACTGGAGTCTCATTAAAGCTATTTTAACAAGTGTGTCATGATAAAACAACACTGCCCTCATAACTGACTCCTCAGAGACACCAGGTAGGTAAACATATGCCTGTCCCTATCCCTAAAAGGTGGCTATAAACCCTGCATTGCCATGTAAAATAGAGAGTGCTGTGTGCTGTACTCCATCCTGCAAAATTCTTCAACATGTGCTTGTTTTTCAAAAACTTGTGTTTACAACCGCTGCAAGCCCCCAAATAATAAGGTTCATGCCAGACATCGATAAAATGAAGGATTATAGGCGTACAAAGGGTACATCCTTTTTATATGAGAATAAAACTAACAAAAACAAATTAACAAGCCATTGAGAGAGGTTTTACAAGGCCAGGCTATTATGATGAAGTGTTTTATATGCCTTGAATCCCAGATCACAGTCAAACATCAAAATCATCTCTAGCCAGCATATGGTGGACCTAATGACATAACCACCACAT